TCGACCAAGTTTCGTCTTTTTTTTTTTTTAATTTTTTTTTTTAGAATTTTTTTTTATTTTTTAGATTTTTTTTTAGAATTGTTGTTTTTGGAAAAATAAAAAAACGAGCAAACACATGAATTTTCATGGGGTGTTGCAGAAAATAGTTAAACATTTTTAGATTTAGCTTCTGTATTTACACCGGTCCTCTTTCCCATGTCTGCCTCAGCTGAGCACTTAATTAGGATCGATCAGTGTATTTTTAAATGGGCACCGTCATTCAGTAGCCCCTCTATGCATTGTTGTACATGTCTAGTACTTCCTAACCTGCAGTCAAATCCAATAAATGAAACCAGCTATTGTCAACTTCCTGTAATCTGAGTAAACTATGTCGTACAAGCATGATTTTAAACATTTAACTAATTTTTTTTGTCATTATCTTGGCACATCTGTGATGCATTAATGTCTCATTTCTCACCTCCTGAAAATCCTCATTTGAGGTTGAGCTATTAGGTATAGGGTTTAGTGTAATGTTGCCATGAGATGAGGTAAATACATATGGTATGTGCTCTCCCACTTGTTGGACTTGTCACCCTCATCTGAAATTCCTGTGAATTTTTCAGGTTTGTTGGTCGTATTACTGTGACTCAGCATGGGGAGGAGATAGTCAGGTAAGATTCCTCGTTTTGATTTCTGCTGCTTAATCCATTGGTAGGACTGTCAAAATTTTGTTTTCTTTTTTTGTATTTTTCTGTTAGGCCTCTTGGCCCTGAGAATCTGCTGCTGCGAGGCGCCAGGTTGAAAAATACCAAAGAGATTTTTGGTGAGGCTGTGAAGCACTTTAAAACAACCTTCCTCTGAAATAACTATGAGGCCGCTGTGGCTTAAGGAGCTTGAATATGACAAACTAGTACCTTAGCTCTGTATGCTGTGATACAAACAGAAAGTCATGCACTGTGATATATATTTTCTGAACTGGTTCCACCTATTATTACCATGTTCTATGTGAATCTTGATGTTTTCTGTACAACATGACAAGTGGTCAAATTACCTTATGTCTTACCCACCCACTGTGATGTTGTAGGTGTGGCAGTTTACACAGGCATGGAGTCCAAGATGGCTCTCAACTACAAATGCAAGTCCCAGAAACGCTCTGCGGTGGAAAAGTTGGTCTTTTTTTTTTCTTCTCAGATAATAAGGAGACTGTTTTCTGGTTGACCCTCCATAAATGTTCACATGAAAATACAATTTTCCTGACAGGTCCATGAATACCTTCCTGATCATATACCTGGGCATTTTGCTGTTCGAGGCGATCCTCAGCACTATCCTAAAGTATGCCTGGCAGGCTGAGGACAAGTGGGACGAGCCTTTCTATAACTACAAGACTGAGCAGGAGAGAAACAGTATTTCGGTTCGTTGAGTTGGCTTCACAGACCCTTTTCCCTTGTTTTACTGTACAATTTACATGACATTGATATATTTATTGCTCATTTTGTGTCTTCTAAGCACAAACTGTTTTCTTCTGCCTCTTTTAGATCTTGAAGTTTATCTCAGACTTCTTGGCCTTCATGGTCCTCTACAACTTCATCATCCCCATCTCGCTCTACGTTACTGTGGAGATGCAGAAATTCCTTGGGTCTTTTTTTATAGGGTGGGATTTGGACCTTTATCACGAAGAGAGTGACCAGAAGGCTCAGGTCAACACATCTGACCTCAACGAGGAGCTTGGCCAGGTATAGAAGTCGAGGAAACGTGCACACACACACAGGCACACACCGTACATTTGGCTAAGATTATTATCTGTTTATGAACAATGCGTCATCAGCCACAAATTAATTTGTTTCCAATTATTTCTTTTAACTTATATGTATATGTGTCAAATATCTTATCTGAAGAGCTTTTAAAATATCCAATATTATATGAGCATTTTTTTTCCATAGCACAAAAGTAACTACATAAAGAACAAGGGAATATTTGTAAAATTTATATTTATTCTTATAAGATTGTTATACATTTAAAGTTTTTTTGTTGTTCTGTTTCCCAGGTGGAGTATGTTTTCACTGATAAGACTGGCACACTAACAGAAAACGAGATGCAGTTTCGTGAGTGTTCTATTAATGGAACCAAGTATCGTGAAGTTAACGGTAAACTGGTACCGGAGGGAATGACTGACGACTCACCAGACGGTTCCGTGCCTCACCTGGTGACTAACATCTTTATGAGTTACACTCAGTCTCTTTAGTCTGATGCAGATTGGCTCTTTATGGCACAGTGGTGTTCACTGTCTTCTCTGTCTCTGTCTTTTAGATTGGTGATGAAATGTTGTTCCTCAAGGCGGTGTCATTGTGTCACACAGTTCAAATCAGCTACGACCAGCCTGACTGTCTGGGTGGGGGAGGAGATCCCTTCTCTCATGTTAACGGTTTCTCCTCCAGTCACATGGAATACTACGCCTCTTCTCCAGATGAGAAAGCTCTGGTGGAGGCAGCAAAAAGGTAAAATTACAAATTAATTGTAAATAAAGTATGTAAAATATTGTATGAAGCCAAAAGTTAAATAGATTTTTCACTGTTCAGTGACAACAAAATATTAGTTGAGTTCAGTTTTTCTAACATGCTCATTTGTAATATTTGAATATAGTGCACACATGTTTCCAAATTACACATTTCTGTTCAGTACGTGCGCATGTACAGCAGTTCAGTTTAAAAGGTTGGAATCAAACATGTTAAAACAAAAGCTTTTCAGATAAGTCTTTTATCCATCCCACAGAAGGGAAATTCACATTTTTGTTTCCCTGTGGAAAAATAAAGGAGAGCTGACTATGAACATGAAGCACAACTTCCTGAAATTGACATTTCAGGAAGTTATCAGTGATTCCGGACAATGTACAGTAGTTTCTGTGCTGCAAAATAAAAATAAGTTGGCCTGTTCAGATTACATGGACATATACTAACATTTGTTGTTCTGTTTTTGTTTCATTTTGGTGTATATTTTCCATGATAGTCACTGCATGGTATAAATTATTAACAGCAGCAGCACCAGCTCAAGCTGACCCTGAAATAGTAATAATGTAGATGATTGACTGGTCCAAGGACAGATCTAACTGAAACCTTATTTATCCATTTATAAATCTTAAAGGACCACAGACCTTTAAAAGATCCTTCATACAAATTGGATTTTTATCTTGTGTAGGTCTTAATTCTCTGAAGAATAATTCTAATGTAATGTCTTTGATTCTCACTTCACTAGAATCGGAGTGGCCTTCACTCGCAGCAACGGAGACACAATGGAGATAAAAACATTTGGCAAATCGGAGAAGTATGTCTTTCTGTGTATCTGAAAGTATACAGACCTGTTGTTTGGTCATCATCTTTATTAAAGAAGCACTGACATTTTATGGCCTTGACATTAGCTTAAATGTTTTCATTAAAATCCTATTTATAGAAAAAAAATATGAATGTAAAAGTGTTCTGTATTCACTTGTAAAAATTTATTTATTATTTTTATAGTACCGCTACATATATAAGATAATGCAAAAAAAAATGCATTTAAAGAATTGCTGTTTTTAAGAAAGAAATTCTCCAAAAAACTGAAAAAATAATCCTCTGGAAAAATAGTTTAAATGATCAGGAACACAAAATCACTGATTTGTTGCTTAAATCAATGCTTTATTTTGTTCTTTAGGTACAAACTGCTGCATGTATTGGAGTTTGATCCAAACCGTAGAAGGATGAGTGTCATCCTGCAGACTCCCTCAGGTAACAATCCTTCATTTGGTATATAATAAACAAAGTAGGCCTAACGTGTGGACCAGACACTGTCTGTCCAGCTGTTTGTGAATGCTGGAACTGTGCACTTGCCTGCTTGTGGCACTGCTGTGTGAAATATCTAATATTCCAGTAACTTCTGGTATAATTTATCACCTCAGTATAAAAACATTTTTCCACTAGGAGTAAAGTATGTAACTTTTAATTATTATACATACAATGCACATCTAATAATGTCATTTCACCAAGATTATTTTGCCTCCTTTGTGTTCTCATTATGCCCCAGGAGGGACCGTGCTCTTCACCAAAGGAGCAGAATCAGCCATCTTGCCTTTTACGACCAGTGGTGAAATAGAAAAGACCAGACTGCATGTTGATGAGTTTGCATTGGTGAGGAGTCGTCTGTATTCATGCTTTTATCTTAATGCATTCCATTTGTCAGAAAGTTTGCTTCTTTTACAAGTTACCCTGGTGCTTTGTTTTCAAAATGTGCTTGTCTCCAGTCAGTCAAAAATATAACCTCAGTCAACAAGAGAGAGAGTCTTCTGTGAAGTTGCACCTGAATGTATCTGACTCTTATAGTTCACTATTGTGTGAAGCCTGGATATTACCTTGCAGTTCAGTAATTACCTTAAGTTCTGTTGTGTTCAGTCCATTAGAATGTAGATCCATCTCTCAGCCACTCACACGATGCATTTCCAGACCTGGACCGGTTTGATTTGTGGCCATCTCTTTTCTTTTCTGTCATCTTTCCCTCTTGTTTTTTTTCTTCACTCCGGCTCTTATATTACATACTTTTTATTTGCTCAACACCCATTGCCGCAATTCAAGTCACGAATCTCTTACATTTCCTTACTTTTTTTCTTCTTTAGAAAGGGCTGCGGACACTGGTGGTAGCATGTCGTCATTTCAGCCCAGAGGAGTACATCGATGTGGACAAGCGTCTGAACAGCGCCCGCACGGCACTGCAGCAGAGGGAGGAGAAACTGCAAGAGGCCTTCAGCTATATAGAGAAAGACCTGCAGCTTCTGGGTGCAACGGGGGTGGAGGACAAGTACGGACTTTAATGAATAAATTGGAATAAATTATTGTCGATGCTGCTAAATACAAACACGAGCTCAGTCGTTAATCTTTAGACAAACTCTTTACAGTATGGTTTACTGGAGCTGTTCTCAATAGTGATTCAGGGGACTCACTCAAATTGTATTAAAAATAAATCCAATGCCATCGGTGAAAGTTTCACCCGATAAACAATCTCAGAAAATAGCTCTGAGATCATTTGCTGTAATGTCAAAGCCTTTTTAGAAACAAACATATGGTGTATTTATATAACCTGTGTTTTTAACTCCATCTTCCCACTGCCAATTAGTCAATAACGCATGGCTGCCATTGTGTGCCTAAGAACAGCTGATTTATATCCACATGGTTAGGCTCAACAGCTAAATATTGTCATAGTTGCAAATTAAATTATGATTTTAATCAATTTTGTGAAAATAAACCTGAAGATTATTTGGCACATTATTTATTTTAAGAAGATATTTTTGCCAAAGGAAGTTGGGACCTTAATGTACACAACAAATATTCAGAAACTGTTTGTTTAACAGTAGGACTCCCTCCTACTGTTAAACAACTGGACAGTGTATAGTCTGCAAGGAGACGTTCAGAAACTGTTTGTTTAACAGTAGGAGGGAGGGACAGTGTATAGTCTGCAAGGAGACACTGCCTCGCTGGAAATGAGTGTTGATACGCATTTGCAACCACGCACCATCTGCTCTACAGATATAAGCCTCCTCCTCTTCTCACACTCTTCACTAAACACTGCTATTTCTTTCTTTTATCTGCTCCGTTTGTGTCAGAAATAGGTTTGTCCTTATGCTCACAGACACGGAATTCCTTTCTATGGGGACTTTTTTTTCAGTTTAAACACTTTTCTAATCTGAGCTTTGTTCAATCTTGACCACGTGAAAAATGTATCCTCTTTCACTTCCATTTTTTGCAGACTCCAGGACAAAGTCCAGGAGACCATCGAAGCCTTACGGATGGCAGGGATCAAAGTATGGGTGCTGACAGGTGACAAACATGAGACAGCCGTCAGCGTCAGCCTCTCCTGTGGTCACTTCCACAGGACCATGAACATACTGGAGCTTCTGCAGCAGCGCTCTGATAATGAGTGCGCTGAGCAGCTCCGCAGACTAGCCCGGAGGTCAGTTAATGGACTCATTATACGTTTCTTTTTCATTTAAACAAAGCTCAACTCATCCTTGCTCTCTGTTCCCAGGATAAAGGAAGACCACGTAATTCAACATGGGCTAGTTGTGGACGGAGCCAGTCTGTCTTTAGCATTGAGGGAACATGAAAAGCTCTTCATGGAAGTGTGCAAAAACTGCTCAGCTGTGCTGTGCTGCCGTATGGCCCCTCTGCAGAAAGCAAAGGTATCATTCCTTGGAAATACACACAGGCACCCATACACACCAATTTATTTTTCTGTCTTAGGTTTATCTATAGCTGATAACTGTTCTCCGCAGGTGGTCCGTCTTATAAAAATATCTCCAGAGAAACCCATCACCTTAGCAATTGGTGACGGAGCCAATGATGTCAGCATGATACAGGAAGCCCACGTGGGCATAGGTAACAACTTGCATAATCATTATATTCCTAATAACCTTTTTTACTGCGTCTTGTCTCACTTGTGTCTCTGCGCCTGTTTTTACAGGTATCATGGGTAAAGAGGGTCGTCAGGCTGTGAGAAACAGCGACTATGCAATCGCCAGGTTCAAGTTTCTGGCTAAACTCCTGTTGGTCCACGGTCACTTCTACTATATTAGAATATCAACACTTGTACAGTACTTTTTCTACAAGGTGAGTAATTATGTTAAATAATCATAACTACAGTTAAAAGAATTGGTATATTAAAAAATCCTGATTAAAACAGCAATTATTTAAACATTTTTTTTCTTTCCCATGTTTTGCAGAATGTATGTTTTATCACCCCCCAGTTTTTATACCAGTTCTTCTGTTTGTTTTCACAACAAGTAAGTGTCTTTATTGCTTTCATTGTTGTCAGAGCTCAGTTCTGTGTATTTTGTGCATTGCTTAGCTGACAGAAAATTTTACCACATATTTGGAATAAAATTGTGAAAAAATCAGCTAGTAAATTACTTGTAAGAATAAAACTGTGAATATTTTTCCAATCTGTAAAAAGAGTGTTTGTCAAAGGGAATAAGAGACATATTTGTTATGCTATTACATTGTACTTAATCATTCCATTTGTCCACTCGTGTTGTCTCCTGTTGTTTTTCAGTGTGTATTTTTTTACTATATGATGTAGTTATCAAAACTGTATGTTGTCATGAATCCTTTTCTGCCGTGCACTGTCAACAACGCCTTTGTGTTAAATAAAGTTGTGTCTGCTTTATTCCCAGACGCTGTATGACAGTGTTTATCTGACACTGTATAACATCTGCTTCACCTCGCTGCCCATACTGGTGTACAGTCTGTTTGAACAGCTGGTCCATCCACATGTACTACAAAACAAACCTGGTCTGTACAGGTGAGGATGAGTTGGGGATTTTGTGAAAGAAGCTACCATGTGGGAAATGTAACCATCACTTATTTATTGTGAATTGAGAGAACTCTGTGTTTGTTACAGGGACATCAGCAAGAACTCTTTGCTGTCTTTTCGGACATTTTTGTACTGGACTCTGCTGGGCTTCTGCCATGCCTTCGTCTTCTTCTTTGGGTCATATATACTGATGGGAGAAGACACTACCCTAATGGGCAACGGGCAGGTGCGTGTTAAATTGTGCATGTGTGTGTTTCATATATTTATTTTCTGCAATTCTTATTCTGTTTGAGAATCTGTTTTCTTTAATGAGTGCTAGACAAGTTCACACTACAAATGTGGATTTGTCGTGTGTGTTGTGTTTTGGTTTTTTTGTTAATGTAATGATAAATTACTCTACAGTTTTTGCCATTTCTTCTTCTGACTTTTCTATCTCCATGTTTAACAGCTTTTATTCAACCTGATAAGTGTTCTAACCCTATACATATAAATATATATTATTTTTTTACTATGTGTTTTTTTATTCCTTGTCATATTTCCTGTGACTCTGGCATTTTTTCACAAATTATGTTTTTTCTTGTCTTTCTTCCTCCTCTGCATATCATGTCTGAAGTTTGGTATTTCCCTCTTATTGCTCTTTGCTTGGTTTTTTTCCTCTTATTTTTTTTCCGTTGATTCCTATTTTTCGTTCTGCCTTCATGCTGTGCATGTCTTCAGATCTTGCGAGCAAACAGGCAGTTGGTAAGAGTCTGTTCTACTGCTGAATGCATGTCTCTACGGGGGGTAAAACTCTGGGGCAATCTGTATGATTTCTCTTTCTCTGGTATTAATACTGAAGACAATAATAATAAAAAAATGATAGTTCAGAAACATTCATTATTGATGTTTACTTTATAACAAATCATGTGATTAGCAGCAACCCTCAAGACGTATAAGATAATTTGTTTCGTCTGTTAAGGTGGAGACCTTTTCTGAAGAAATTCCAAACACATGATTCACTGATCCACTCCACTAAAATTGATCTGTTAGGATCAAGAGAAAAAGTCCAAGGCTTAAGATCATTGTCTACTCCCCTGACTTTCTTTTCTGAAAACATCTTTGTACCTCACACTAGCTCTCACTGCTCAGACTCCAGCAGGGTCTTAAATTGACTGGCAAGAGAGAAACAGTGCGTCAACATGAGAGTTTCTCTATATAAATACAGATCTGTGTTGTATTCATGCACTCACTCTATGTACACGAAAGAACCATGCCATAATGTGCAGATATGGTTTTAAAGAATTTCCACTGTGGATCAACAGCACATTCACACTTATACTGTAAGTCAAGGAGACTGAATTAAAACTGTGTTAGTGGAAGCTTTCATTTCATTTTTTCATTCTGTACAAATGAATTATTTGCGTAAGAAAAGAATACTAATATGACAGGTCTTTGTTGCTGCCGTGTAATAATGTTGACGATTTCAGTAACAGTCATGTTTGTTTCGTAGATGTTTGGAAACTGGACTTTTGGAACGCTTGTGTTCACCGTCATGGTCATCACTGTTACACTAAAGGTAAGTGACACCTCATGCTTAATCAGCAGGTTTGTTATTTCAGATTTTTTTTAAAATAGTTAGCATAAAAATACCTTATTGTCCTTGCTTTAAACATTTTGGTAAAAACATGTCTGTGACTTTCCTAAACTTACCAGTGCATATAGAGAGTAATAAATTAATGTTGTCAGTTAAGATACCACTGTGTGACGTATTAGGCTTCTCTAAATTATAGTATAGTGTCAGTGATTTAATGCAGTTTACTGTGAGATATGAGGACGCTGTCAGTACCATTAATGGGCGAATTTTCTGTCCTAGTGGGGTCAAGACCGCTCTCAAAGCCCCAGTATTTTATTGATTTTACAACTAGATTTACACCCAGTTATCCTCTGTGTGTGTGTGTGTGTGTGTGTGTGTGTGGTTTCAGCTTGCTTTAGAGACTCATTTCTGGACGTGGATGAACCATTTTGTGACATGGGGTTCGATTGCCTTCTACTTCATCTTCTCTCTCTTCTATGGAGGCATCATCTGGTGAGAACAACAGCACACACATATATCTACTGTTTTTATTTTTGTTCCTAACACTGCATTTAAGTAAATATGAATTGCCAGTACTTTTGTGTAGAAAGCATACAACATAAGGAGCACTGACAGATGTGCACACATGAGGTTGTTAATGTTTGTCGTGACCTGTGTTTGCCTTAGTTTCTTCATCAATCTTAATCACTTCATCCAGTGACGTCAGCTGTCAGACTGGCAGGAGCCACGATTTAATCTGTGTGACTGATCAGGTCTTTTATCTCTATGAAGTTAATAAAATATTTTATATAATCTATAGATTTTTTTTGTTGTCAGTTCAATAACATGTTTAACAATTTTCATCCATTCTCCTAAATTAGTCATTGCATTTTTTTTATTTATTTATTTAATATCTTTTCTGAAGCCCATGTGATGCATTCAGTTCAATTCTAAATTCTACATAAAAGACATGGCATTTATTGCTGTTGCTGTTGTTCATTTTAAACTCGTACCCAGTTAGTAGCTTCATTTTACCATTTGATGGGAAATGTGTTTTAATGCTAAATACAATTCATATGTTCTTCTATAGTCTTACTGCTGCTGTCATTAACTACCGTCCTTTTGTCCTTCCAGGCCTTTCCTCCACACCCAGGACATGTACTTTGTATTCGTGCAGCTGCTTTCCAGCGGTTCGGCCTGGTTCGCCATCATCATCATTGTAATAACCTGTCTGTTTCCTGATGTGGTGAAGAAGGTCTTCTACAGACATCTGCAGCCCACCAATACACAGAAGAGTCAGGTAACACAAGGACTAGGGGATGATCGGGCAAGGGTCCAAACATTGGAACATTTCCTACATGAAAAAATGTAATTGTTTGCTTTTTGCATTGACTGGGGCAGGCAGGTTAGGCTTTGTCTTCTAAGAGAGATTTTTAAGAATATTGATTAAATATTAAACAATAATGAAATGTCCAAATAGACTGCAGCACAGAAAGTACTGTTAAAACAGTTCTTTTTTAAAATGAATTAAAATTTTCTGGTGTCTGGAGAAAGTTAAAAGTTAAGATAACTTTTCTGTTCTGAGTAAGATTTAATACTGAATCCCTCTCGTGTGACAAAAATAGAAAATGTATTTCCTGAGAGGTGACTGGAGCCCCAAGGGAAGAAAAAAAAACTTACAATGTCAAAGCAACACAGCCTCTCCAGAGAAGATGTGTTTAATATTGTTTAAAAACACATTATTTTCTCAGCCTCTGTGACAGTCACGGAGATTATCGTCTTCACACAAGTTCTTCAGAAAACATACGTGCGCACACACACCACATGACTTACCTCTGCAGTACAGCACATAGACTGTCCAACAGTGTGTATGGTCACCTTTCAGCTATACTGATTCTATACTGATGCCTCCATCTAAACTCTCCTCTTGTCTTCTAAAGAAAAGGCTGTGATGTTTGCTGTTTTATCTCTCAACCCTTTCCAGATGTGTGTGTTTAACCCCTAAGGTGTGTGAAAGACCTAGTTTCTAACCTTTCTGACCTTTATCTGTCCCTGTATGTGTGTGTGTGGGTGTGTTCTCTCCCTTTCTCTGCTTCTCTCTGCCTGTGCTCCTGTCGTAGATGTATTCCAACCGTGTGGCAATAGGAGATGACTTCATCGCTCTGCAGCCTCTGTCCAGAGCCAAGAGCCAGCTGGGCAAAATTAGGTAGAAGAGATGAGCGTGATCCAGGCCTGGGCTTAAAATACATCCAGAAAATCAAATCAGATAAAAGAAGTGTCCCAGGAGTGCTCTATTCAAACGCAATTGATCACTCTTTTTCATTGCTGTCACTTGGTAGTCAGTCTTCAATTATGACCTAACTTATTTCACACTTTTATGATCACATCTTTTCTAATATAAAATCATAAATACAAAGTAGTTTATTCATTTAACTTAAAATGAGTCTTGAGTCTTACGTTTCAGAGGGGGAAAAATGTTTGAAATAATCACCCTATAGGTGATACCTACAACATTGCTTTTCTGAATAAGTGCTCCTGCCAATGGTGATTTAAATAAGACCGGAATGTTTTCCCAGCTCTTGAGTTGTTTTAGTCCTACCTGTGCCTTTTTATTCCCCATCTGTGACTGCATGCACTGGAAAGGCCAATCAGCATTCTCCGTGATTGTTGAATAAACAAGTATGGGGGCCTGTCAAGGTCAGCGATGACACCGAGAAAATGTGATGAAAAGCATTTCAGTCGCTGCATGTGATGCATTTTTGTGAAAAGAGTGACGTAGTGAATGTGATGTTACAGCTCATCCAAATCCTGCCTGTTTAATCAAAGCGCTGTCATCTCTCCATACACTGCATGAAGAAATGAATGAATGAAAGAATCACATGAGAAGCTTCACAATACTCATCAGTATTGTTTCCCTGGCAGTCATGACACAGTGCTGTCTGGCACTGTTGTGCACAGAGATCCTGTCTTGGGTTCTGAGTCCTAGTTTATGGAGCACCCATCAGACCATGAAGTCCTGTACTTGCATTTGCCCCAAGTCTGTGGTCAGTTGTCAGTCCTGAATCTTGTCTACCAGCCACAGCCAGGCATGATGGTGCAGCACATCAAATCTTACGTTTTGCCCATAGCATGGTCGGTCTTATGTCCAAGCTGAACGTTCTCAGACTGATGTTTCCAACTACCCTGAGAATTGTCCACCTGCATGACTCCAGCAGACCCAAAGCTTAGGACTGATCATCCACTGCAGCTGCATGACAGACTCCACATGTCTGGACTCCTCACATTACGGCACATCAAAAGCATGACAGACAGCTGTGTTATTATCACGTCTGTTTTGTGTTGAAGTCTTGCAGATCTTCTGCCATCAAAGTTGATATTACAGTCAACAGTCTGCAAGAAAAAAACATTCTAATGTGAGCTCTCTTTTTGAAGAAAGGTAGATTTTTGTAGATGAAGAAAAAAAACTCGTACATACTTGTATTTTTAGTGTTGCAACATATAGATGTACTGCGTGGATGTCTTCAGTCCTGTAAGTTATTGTTCTGAAGCACAGAATTGTAGGGGTTTAGGTGCAATATCTATTTGTACTGGCCCATTCATTAGGTACATGTTGTTGCTTATCGATTTAACCTACTTTTGCTTGAAGAACTGCTATAATTCCTAACGGTGTCATTCCTCAGAAGTTTTTTTTTTTTTTCATGATGGGATCACACAGCTGGGGCTGTTTTTTCACTGAATGTAATGATGCAGATCCACAGGGAATCTTCTCATCACGTTTTAAAAAATGCTTAATCAAAGTGAGTTCAAGTGGCTGTGCAGTTAAGTACAGCAAACCCATGTTCAACAATTTATGTGAGAGGAGATGTTTGTGACAGTGGAAGTGTGTTAAAAATATTTTTATCTCTACAACAATAGCTCGTACCATCGGTCTGTGTAGTTCCTAACAAATCTAACATTGCCATCCCAGTGACGAACAAATTGTACCTCTATTACTGAGCTTTCAAATGGGTGACTCTAATGAAATGTCCAGTGAGTTGATCGGCTGATTGGCTAAGTGTCTTGTAGTTAACTTTTATTTGCCAGCAAACGTGGCATGTTAAAAAAAAAGATTGCTCGTGGCACATAAAAGTCTTACAAACCTATTGCACAGTAGTTTGACTTCTGTTGGAGGAAATCCAGGGCCATTTAGTATTACTTTTCGGAATTATGTGTGACCTCATCAAAACAAGACAAGCAGTTATGTCTGAATACTTTCTTCACAGAGAGCTCAGCTCTGCAGCAGGGGGGTAAAATGTGGGACACACACCGGTGTTTGGTTACAAAGAGCAGGATGCAGTTGTTTGCTCCCAGCTCTGTTGTGTTGAAGGTTTTGGCAAGGTCACTTCTGGTGGGCTTTAGAAAAGCTGACCAGGAGTAATATGACGTTCAGTTAGATCTCACAGTAGAGTGAGGACTACTGTTATTTGCCTCTCTATTAATATATTATTATATACATTAACTGACATTTACAAAATGACAACCAAACTGTTTTATAAATCTGCTCATTGGTAAATACCAAGCACTGAAAAAATATCCACTTTATAACTTTGTCAGTGATGATATTTAATAACAAGAAAATTAAAGTGGCTATTTTTTGCAGTGACTACAAGGCTGGCCCAACTGATTATGTTGCTTTTTTGACGTCTGACCTGCACACAGTGTACCTGGCTGACTGATGGTTGAACTGTTCAAAAGCCAGCAGGGCTCACTGTAAGCATCTTGTGTCCTTCAGATGGAAGAGGGTGAGGGTTCAGTCGGCCCAGAATATGACCCTGTTAAAGTCCAGCGGAGCCCAGGGGAGGACAATTGGCACCTGCTAGCTGCTTATCCTCCCCCTGCTACCCAAAGGCCCAGACCCCTGCTCCCCTAGGTAGTACCATACATGTACAGTATGTCTCTGCCATCGTCCCCATACCCTCACTGCTGGGGGCCTTTACTGAGGACCAGCCAACCCTTGCACCCCAAAACGTTATGTTGCCTGTTTCAAAAAAATACCTGCACTCTGATTGTTTTCCCATGACCACTCTCTATTATCATATGTCATATTATCAAACCCTAATGTATTTGTCTGTCAGTCTCAACCCCTGTGTGAATGACACAACCATGATCACTGCCATCTACCTCAATCCTTGCACGACTAACCTTACCCTAACCCTGAACTCCAGAAACCATTGACCTCTCTATATACTGCTCTGAAGTTCGGTCTAAAAAAAAACGGTCAGAGTGTAATCGGTGCAGAGAGAGGGAGAATGCTGTTGGCATGAGTTCACTGTTCATCCACTGTCAGTTTTTTTTTTAGGTATTTGCTCCCACTGTATAGTTTTTGTTGTCCATATTGATGTGTGAATTATTGCAGTTGGCATAAATAATGTTTAATTTTTTTATAATTTTTGAATCCACAGTATGGTTTTAAATATGTTCTGTTCTGATCTCTAATTGTCATATTGATGATTTATCTGGAACATAAAACAAAGAAAAAGACTATTGTGAGATAGCCAGTTGAAAGATTTAATGGCATTCTTTCACTTTTATGCTAACGTGCTGTCTGGTTAGAATCGGACACGAGCATCTGCTTCTTGACTGATCGCTATAAGAGATTCATGCTTGGTAGTTTGGGTCAACAAGTCACTGTAGAGTTAATCAAAAGCAGCAGCTTTTATTACCGGTGAGGTCACACTGACGTGTAAACACCAAGGACATCTCAGCAACGAACAAGGTCTTGTAGGAGATGCATTACTACCCAGACACACTTGTGGCTTGGCTGGTTTTCCTGTGGTTTGTACTTGGACTCAGTTTGAGTTTGGAAGAATCACATTCCGCAGCTTTCTTTAAGAATGCAAGAGCTGGCTACTGCTTTAAAAAAAAATGACCAAGTGTACTCACTGACTGCCAACAAACAAGACAGAAAATATTGACAGAATTCTTCAGAGATGTTTGACACCTGCAGCATACACAGTTTTGCGCTGTTGCAGCAAAAGACAGAAAACCAAATGGTTGGTTTCATGCCAACAGCATCTCGAATTCCTGTTGCAGAGAAAAGTAAAAGTGGCCACACTGCAATCAGAGGTTGATGTTGAGAGTAGGGTGTCACAGCACTAAGCTGGAAAACAAACCTGTCTTTACTTTAACTATCATGAAATAATGCCTCTAATTGTATGGACATGACTTGAGTGATAGGTTCTGAAGCATGAAAAAAGTGTTGAGGAGTTAAGATGTGCTGATGGACACAGTTTTTAACACCTAACAATGCCGTTTTTCTATTCCCCACAGTATAATTAATCTTGAAAGCAATTAATGCCTGTAATGACAGTATTGAAAAGTACAAATTAAGGCTGATAATGAATGGGTCACCAAATGTACTGTGAGGATAATCTATAATTATGCTGTCCACTTATACTGGAAAAAATAGTTCAGGTTGCAGACTGCACAAATGTATCCTCTCCTCGCCTCCACCACTCTCTTCGACCTCTCCAACTACCCTCCCCCTACTCCCGCTTTCTCTCGGGTGCTGACTCAGAACAGTAGCGCCACCTGATCCCACAGGTTTCTAGGCAGCAGTGGCAGCTCCATTCAACTTTGTCTACTGATGCCAGTGTAATTACTAAAGTGCTGCAGGGCTACAACTGTGTGTCGTAGAAACATATTTCCAGAAAACTAAGTACACGCCTTAAAAATTTTAAAAATTGGTAAATTAATTTAAATTTGATTTTAACTGGTTAAATAGTTAGTTGTATTCCAATGAATTATTTCTAAGTTTATTCTTGGGTTTTATAAATGTACAGTTTGCATACGCTTTCAATTTTCTTTTATTCCTATGGAGTAGATTATAAGAACGCAACAAACTGATAACTGAGGAATAAAAAAGAATCTGATTGGCTGGTTTTGAGTCAGGGTAAGTTTATGCTGCATGATATAGATTTGTTGTCTAATGAGTGATTCATCATAGAGATGACAATCTGCAAAGAGCTGCAGCGAGAGAAAGTGACTGTCTGTCTTTAAAAGAACATTTAGAAAACATATTATAATAATATGCAGGTTCAGCCTGGCCCATCGCAGGGAACTAATTACTCCATCAAAATCCTTATCCTTATCTTATGCTAATAGGATGTAAAAGAAAATATTTTTTTCTTGTCAGCAGCTCTGTGCCCTGAGCTGTGTTTTTATTACTAAGGTTTAAAGAAATATCTTTAGAGACCAAAGAAAGGTTTTTGTTATTTATGATTTGTTCATAATTCATTCATTCTTTGTCTCTGTAAATCATTGTTCCTGTGATGGCATGTCTGTTCATCCTGCAGTCACCCTGTCAGTTCTGAAGTGACCCTTGTTTTTCAGAGTGATAATTTATTTCCATTTTGTCTGCTCTCCCCTTCCTTTCTTTTCTTTTGCTTCCTCCCATTGTTGTCCTTTGCTGTCTTTTCTACCTTTTTTTTTTTACACTGTTCCCACTTCTTATCTACCTCTTTATCCCTCTGCAGTCTATATCAGCCCCAGCCGAGACCCTCAGCTGTGTGGAGTCCCTGTGCTGCTTCCAACATGGGCAGAGCGGCTGTACCCGCTTGGCCCACTTCCTGGAGCAAATGACGGGGCAGTGCCAGGACAGTGTCAACCATTGCCAGGTGTCCAGCCGCAGCAACAGGTGGGAAAGGCTACAACTAGCACTAACACTGAATTTAATACGTTGGTTTGAGAATTTGGAAATCAGACCTGAATGCAGTAGTCCTTAACCAGAGCTGCAAGTCAATTGTTGTTCAAGGTTTTTCTTGATCTGAATGACCATTTGAGGACGGACCTGGGGGGTGATTCATCAGAATAAAGTGTTCTTACCTTACAGTCACACTCCTCACAATAACAACTGAAAGGACTGTGTTGACCAGGCCATTTACAAAGCCTGTAGCTCTAAATGTAGCGTAGTCAGGGGAGAATATGAGTCCCAGTAAATCTGTAAGGCCCCTGTGCAGTGGTGAGAAAATAATGACCCATCCGTAGAGCGAGGCTGATGGTAACTGGATACTGGAGAGTGACAGAAGTCTAATATTGATATACTAATATTCTTTTTATTACACAGTGAGGTGCAACCCTCAAATTTCCCTTTACATTTACTCAAGGCTGGCAGGTTATTGTTATTGCAATGTTTTCTGTCTTGTTTCTTATTTATATCGAGCACTGTATCAACACATATGCCTGCAATAAGCTAATATTGTCTAATCTGTAATCAGTAAGGCTCGACTTTAAAGGCCTCGATATTACACTGCTGTTTGTAACCTTGTCTTGCGTGTGTGCATCTCTCTCTCTCTTCTTCACGTTTCTTTGTCTTCATCGTCTCTGCATTTATTTGTTGTTCGGTGATTCCTGTTGGCCTCTTCTGTTTCCTTTTAAACCTGTCTTGAAATCCAGGCTGGGAGTAAAATCTGTAATGCACTTTAGCACAAGGCCAGTGTGTGCTTTTACATTTTTGTTACTTCTGTTGAATCCAGGAGTTCATCTTGTCAGTATCAGTTTTTTTTTTTGTTTGTTTGTTTTTGTTCAGGGTGCTGTGGGGGGTTCTCTTGCTTTAGTGGAATCATATGATGTAATCTTGTGGTTGTAGATGTATTGGATTAATTTGTGACTTCCTGTTTGTGATATGTGAAGCTCTTTAAAATATTCATATCAAGAGGGTATCTTTCAAGCTGCATGTTGCAAAATATGATTTTATTGCAAAAAGGGGAATCTCATGAATGCAAATTATTTTTTTATATTATCATTGTCTTAAGATTTTGCAAGAAAGTCCCAGTCTATTCATTGATATATTTTTTCAAATATTTTTGCCAAGTGCAGCTTTAAAGATGTGTTTGCTGAGCTCACAGTTTCTCGCTCTGCTCAGTCGGCAGTTTCACTGTTATTGTCTTTTCTTTTTTTTTTTTACCTGAGTCCCATTGTGTCACGTCATTAATTTATTGACCTGATTGGCCCTTTCTGCTGAGCAATCAATAACCCCCCAAAAGAGCCGCAGACACTCAGTATTGATCAGATCAGTAATGAAGATGTACCATTGTGTTGCAGTAGATGCAGATTAGGTCAGATCCTGTGTGCTGGTTCATGACTATGTATGCGTTTGTCAGTCTCTGCATTTGTGTGGATATTGTGTCAGCATGTTGGTCACACGAGGGATGCACTCGACCTCTCCCCTTACCCCCTATGGACCATTAAGATGTAAAATCAAGAGGTACAGTTGAAAAGTCCTGATGGGATGCAGCTACAGGAGTAAATGTAGTGCTGGGAGATAAACTGTTCAGTGTTCTCTTATGTGGACATTTCACCTATAAAATTAATCAATTTGTGTTGTTGTCAGGGCCATTTTAGTTTTAAGGAACACAAAGCTGTTTAAGTCACTTCAGGGTCAAAGAAACACTTAACTTGCTCCTGTGGGAATGATTGATTGTTTTCTAACTCTGGCTCAGCCTAAACCGAATGAATCTGCAAATCAGAAGCCAAGATACTCACTTCTCTATATATATACTTGGAGTTACCCCAGATTTTCATTTTTATTTCTAGAAAATATATTTTTAATTCCTTCTTATTTATTTATTTATTTAGTGCATCCTATGTAAATGTAGAAATGTGTTTATTACTTCTAACAAGGTACTCGGAAAATTTAGCTTTTTTTCACCCACAAAGCCCTCTTGGCATAGTGAGAGCACCAAACCAGAAATGTTTCATTTGAACTTGTTGTTTTGAACTTGTTTTATATGGTTCATAGTGTTTAGATACAGTGATATGCAGATAATTGGAGTCAGAGTAGAAGATGCAGAGAACAGGTTAAAATGGAAAATGTTGATTTGGGGAAAAAAAAGGGATAAAGCTGAACGGAAAAGAAGAAGATGAAGTGTTTAGATACAGTCTCTGAAGTCATTTGCCAGCAGTCTCAACAACTTGTAGAAGTCAGTGCTGCTTAGAGAAAAATGGCTCATCTCTTTCCTTTCACCAGCTCTTGCCCCCCTCCCCCAAAAAAAGCCAAAAACCTGAAAAATATTGTTTGGGAGACTGGCCCTTTTTTTTTCAAATTAAGGATGAAGCAGGATACAACTTTAGGCATAGCAAGAGAAAAAAAAATCCAGTCGGTCTTAGACGAGGGGTGACACCTGGGTAAAGATTGTAAAAGGCAACGCATTCGACCACCTGCTCCCTGTTAATTTTCTGGAGGTTTCCTCGATGATTTCATGTGGGCTTATTCTAACATTTTCCGAGCATTTGACTGGAGGGCCGGCAGGAGATGTGTAGGAAAATGTCTGGAGTGTCATTTGTGGATGTTTTTAGAATCTCAGTTCAGCCCCTTCACACAGTTAAAGGGAACAGAAGAGACTTGAGTGAATATAAAGATAGAGATATTTGTTTATCAAACTTTCATCCACCTTTTTTTACCATTGTGATTTGAGAAAGATGAAAACAGAAGAGTGATTAAGTCACTCCCACATTAGGCCTTAACGCTAGGATACTGCCAGAGGTGTAAGACAGTGTGCATCTATCCAGTCCTATGTATCATACTTACTGACTGGATATTATATATCGCCAATATATTAACAACCAGATATAAAAACAAAAATTCCAATTTATTTGGTATTTATTGGCAACCCCAGTTGAAGCTTCAGACTCAGATATTTGATCTAATTAATGAGATAAATCCCCAGTAGCTGAGTCTCTGTAGAAATGTCAAATAAATGTTACTTTGACCATCATACCTCCAGACAAAATGCTGAATTAATTCAATTGTCAAATGTCTTCAATTTTTTGCCCAGTAGAAAAATTATACCAATAAAAATTGAATTTGCTCGATAACATTTATCAACACAGTCACTCTGGAATGGGACATAATCCAATACATCTTTGTTCTATTGCTTCTCCTTACATTAGAACATTTCCTCATCTTTGTAATTCATTGGAATAGAAGTGCAGTTTAGATGGAGGCTCACCGACTCTCCTAAAACGAGGGGATGACAAATTTATCCAGAGAGGCTGCTGCGAAATACGGTCCAGTACTGTGGAATTGTTTGTTTGCAACTTCCTGTATGTATACCTTACATGAAATCCTGAAGCCTTATATGTTCTTCCATGAAGAGGTCAACCTTCTTGACTAAACCTTCTTTTATAATCTGACCTGGTCACTACTGATTGTCCAGGACAGGTTATAAAACCAGGATGTTCAGAGTCCAAACTGTTGCATGTGGGCTGCTCTGTTGCCTTTGGTATTTTGTACACAATGTCCTGCTGTATGTATACGTGTCTCCTCACCCTTTAAAACCCTCTCACTCTCCTTCTCTCTGCGTGTGAACACGTCCCTACCACTTTGTGTCTTAAACATCTGCCCGATTTTAATCGGCTCTCCCAGTGTTCCCTCCTGAGCTCCGTCTTGTCAGAAATCAGCTTGTTGTGCTCGTTCTCGGTGTCTTTGTTCCCACTGGCGGTTTGCTGCTTATGTCCTGTCACTTCTAATCATCGTCAGTGATGTTTTCCTGAGTCACAGGCTAGTTCTGTCTACATGATGAGCAAGGCTTAAAACGGTTGTCTTTGACTCGCAGCAGTGTGAAGTTAAATGTCACAGGTCACGTTAGAAACCACCATGTAAATATTTGGTGCAGAAATGTTCAAGTCTAATGGACATGACAAACGACTTTATAACGGTTTAAAACATTTTTTTAGAACAAGTAGATGGGAGAGTAGTTATGGATGTGTGAATACCTGCTACCTATAACTTGAAGTAAGAATATTGAGATGTTACTTTCTATAATAACATTAAGCAACTGTGCCCTTTTACATTTATGAGGCTTTTCTTGTGTTGCTAAAATACATGGACTAACAAATTATAGAAGGTGACATCATTAAATAAGATAAGGACGAAATGATGATTGAAGCCAGATATTTGGGTTGTTGGTCCACTCTCAGGTTTCAGAAGGTGACATTTTGATTGTCTTTGAGTGTGAATCTAAACTCAAGCAAGAATGTTGATGCTTGTTGCCCCTTATTTTGCTTTGATTTTTATCCTTGATTTCAGTATCTCAAGTCTCTCAGTGTCTTCTGTTATTAACAAGAACCAAGCTGAAGGTGTTATGGTGGTGTTGAATAGGGGTGTATATTAGCAGGAATCTGGGGATACAGCGGGCAACAATATGATATATTGCTAAATACTGTGATAATATAGGCAAAAATACATATTATTTTTAAGGTCAATTGTAAGAAAACTGTCAGAATACTAAACACACTGTTGCATTCTTATCATTAGGTCATTAGGTAAGTGGAGCAGAGAGATCTACATTTGTAATCGCTATAGAAGAAAAAAAAATCAAAAAAATGAACCAACACCATGAATATTTGACTGTTAATTGTTAATAAAAAATCGATACAGTGCTGTTATGGTATATGGTAAGGTAAGGAGAGACTTGTGATACTCATCACTAACATCATCTCAACTTCTTTTTTACTCCTCCTTTTATCACTTTTCACCTTTTCACCAGCCTGGTTTTGCAGACTGTTGGTTAGTTAGTGACCACCAAACACTGCTTCACTCCACGACACACAAACACAAATGGACACACCAACACTGCGTCAGTGCCCTAACCCTCCATCACTGCTGCCGTTTCAGGTCTTGGAATGACATGGAGAACTTCTACTCCAACGATCGCAGCATCCTGACGCTGTCACCCATGGAGGCCACCCACTGCTGACAGACATGGCCACTGACTGTAGCACATAGAGCTGCGGGAGCATTAACACTGCAGTGGGAGTCGTAGGGACATTTTTTTCTGTCCATTTCAGGACACCACTTGTCTGTGGACCAACTCCGTTAGAAAAGGTCGACCTGGTGACGTAGCTGCAAAATTTTGGTTCTTTCAAAACACTGACCTTCAAGAATCCATTCAGCGCTGGGGAGCTTCACTCCGAGGTCAGACTGGTTCAGTGGACCTACATGTAGCATTTGGTTTCCAGACCTAACTTTTCTTGCAGCCATGTCTGCATATTAGTGACTTTGCGATCCAAGATCTCCAACCCGAGGACTTTCTCTCGAGCCTGCTGGTTTGGTAATATTGAGGTCACTTCAGTACTGAGGTGAAGTGATGTCAGTGAGGATTTCGAGGCGTAGCGTTTGGAGAACTCCTCTTGACCTCTGACTGGCAGCGTTGTTTCCACTGTTTTACCACACGGATGTTTCTTTGTGATGACGAAAGGATTATAACCCCTAACCCTATCCCCACCCCTAACACCACAGTAGCAGCCAATGCATTGCGGCTCAAGTTGCTCTGCAAACCCACTTCCCTTCAGACCTGTGGAATTTCCTTTGTGCTGCTCAGCGACCATCTCTGCTGTTGTACCAAAGAGCAGAGCTTTCAGACTGGAGTGCTCAACGCAAAACATGTTTTTGTGCCTGATTTGTACAGAAGCTTCTAATGTTATTCAGAGATTCATGCTGCTTTCTGGTCTGAACCTTCAGACCTGTGACTCCATGCTGCTGCCTGAGAGTCTGTCTAAAAGCCATACACTTTCAAGAGGTCACATTTAGACAGGTGAATTATCGAAGGTAGTGCAGACAGGAATTGATCGAGTCTGTGGTCACAGGTTTTCAATCCCACCTAATTGGCAGAAGTACCAAAATGTCATAGGCTGAAACATTTTAATGTAATTCTACAGACGTGGACCTTATGCTTACATTTCTGATTGATGATGGAAACATTTTTTCGTTGTTTGTTTTTTATCACTGTAACAGTGATATATTTTATATATATATTTCACAGCAAATACAGCTTGACCCAGACGACGAAATTACTGTCTGCAAAGAGAGACAGAAACGGTTCAGTGAAGAGAAAAGCAGGGCATTTGCACATATCAAGCTCATTTCTTTTCTTTATGCTTTATACTTTTTCACATCAACCAATTTTCTTTTTCACTTTTTTTTTCCTTTTCTAATTGTTGCATTATGTGACCATGGTCATTTTTGAAGACAGTTGTTGATTAGTGTGTATGGTTTTGTATGTGTGGTCCACCATGGCAGCCATTTTGGCCGGCAGGAAGTGCAGTACTTAGCTTTGTCAAATGATTTTTCTTCAATGTAGGTTGTTTGTTCTTTCATCTAGGAGGAAAGAGGAAGTGAATCACAGCAGGTGTTTTAAATGTACATGAGAAATGGACGCAGCTATTCAGATCTAAACTCAAAACTTATTTTCAAAAAAGTCAGATCTTTTCTCCTAGTTTAGTTTTATTAGAGCAGCTGAAGCCACTCCGTAAGAAAAACACAAGATGTCTTCATTACGATTCTCTATTATGATTTCTAGAAGCCAAAGACCAGCCTGTAACAGTCTTACAGATGAGCCAGTTTTCAGTTGGAGCTCAGATGAAAGGTTAAGGTTTGGACCACCACATCAGTTTAAACCAACATGTCTCTGGCTGTTTGTTTTTCTAACTGTCAACCAGATACTGAAATATGACCAGCTCTAAGGCCTGTCATTTTAAAGGCCAAGAAAATATAAAAATGTTAATGTCCTTTCCCTTTTTTTTGTTTAGATGGAGCGTGACAGCCCTGTTAGGAGTTGAGTTACAGAAACGTCTGCTGTGAGTCTATTGGCTACGTCCATTTCTCGTATATATTCTGTGTCAGAATTTTAACTGTGAGTGGATTTGCCTGGAGAAGAAGGCACAATGTTCAGGTTGGAACCTCTAAAGACAACCGTTTTAAACTTGACATGAAGAACCACACAACAATGACCAGAACCTTCCTCAGTTCACAGAGGGAGCAGAGCACAGTCACCGTGTTCACTGTTTCTAAACTTGACTCCTGGTCTATGTTTGATTTTCTCTACGGACCATATCTCTTTATTGGCTAATCTTTGTTTTTCTTTGTTTGTGTTTAAACTTTTATACATGTCAATATATATACACACATATGTGGGTTCCTTAAATGCCTCTTACAATGCAGCAAGAAGGTTTCAGTTGTTTCTGAATTTATGTCAGACTTAAGAACGAGCGGCACAACTTCCTGTTTATTTATTAGCGTCTTTAAACATGCCAAGTGGACTAAACTGGAATAAGGTAAAGTCTCAAATGTAAGAATTGGACGGTTGGCTTCTTTCAGAATGCATTATGGGAAACTGAGCTCTTAAAAGAAAAGCTCTGATCAAATTATTTTCAGAATTTTCACAGTGTTGCTGTGGCTTAATCACAATTATTCATGATTATCTATTTGAGAATCATTTTGATATAAACACTGTGACTTATTTGACAGGAAGTAGATGCGCATCAGACAGAACTGAAACCCTGGAGCGCCTTCTCCCGGTGCCTACTTTCCAAATTACAAGTAAGAATATCACATGGTTCCGTCCACTTCTTATGAGCAGCCTTTACCTAAGATAAATTCAGATTGTTTGTTGTGAAGAATATTTCCAATATGCTTTTTCATTTTCCGATATGCTTTTCTTTTACACAAAAAAGTAAACGATACCAAAATCTGACATTTTGACCAACAGTTTGTGACCCATCGGATAAGTTTAGATTTTAGCGCTCGGTTTAGAAGCAGATGAAACCAAATGACAATGAGCTCAGGAGTGTCTTGTGTGACTGCAGATCTCTTACCATGACAGCAGAGCAGATGGAAGAGTCTGAGCGGAACAGTCACTGCTGCTGAGCTGGAGTTCTGACGCCCCCTTGTGGCCATGTAGAAATACTGAAATATTAAAATAGATGTAATAAAATATTTTACCTACAGTAATCAAAATTAACAGTCATTCCTTTGGGACAGTCTCTATTTACTGCATTCAAATTTCACAAGAATTCCAAAATGTCCATAGCAGTTAATAATAACCAAAACTTGCCTTGGCTTCATTTGCAGAACCATCTTCTGTTAAGCCTGATAAAAAAAAAAAAACAACAATCAGATGATTTATATTTTATATATTATATTTTATCAACACTAAGGAGAAAATAATTATTCACAATCATTATTTGGGGTTAGTTGGTGAAATTAGTTTGTTTTATGTTTTCAATATTTCCAAAAATTGTATTCTTGCCTTTTGAGTCAACGCAGCATCATTTTGCTGTTCACCATTGTCTGCAGGGGGTGCTGTGTACCACATCTTGCCACTGGTCCACTGCCACCAAATAGTCTTGTAGAAATCTACACCTGTAAAACAGTAAAATTATGTCATTTTGTGAACCTCTCGCCTTAAATGACATGAAATTTAGTTTCACAAAACAATAAAAAAAAAGTCTTATTTTATAGTATCTGTTTTTGTCTCCTGAGAGGTTCATGATTAATCATGACAAATCAACAAGTCTAAGTCTAGCAAAATATATATATATATATATATATATATATATATATATATATATATTAACCACTATGAAACAGAAAGACTAACAAATAGCAATATATTAACTTTAACTCAACAATTTTCATACAATCAATGTAGCACAAAGTGCTGTACAGATAAAAGGTTAAAAGACCCAATAAGGCTGGGCACCAAGAGAAGAAAGCTTTATGGGGGAAACATTCATACCAGGAAGTCCCGCCCACAGTTGACGCCGCCCAGAGGACTAACCCGACCAGGACAGAAGCCGACACCGTGGCCCATATGCAACAAGCGTCCAGCCCACCAGGGTAGCCCACAGAACGACGCTCCCACAGGCAGCCACGACTCAACTCCCGGCACGGAGGGCTCCTCAAGAGGAGAAGAAAACACTGGAGCAAAAAGGTAGAAACATGACAGCACAAAGCAATAAGATAAGTTAAAACAATGAGTCTTGTAAAAGCTGATACATATAAATAGATAAATAAGATCATTTCAAAATCTAATTCGGGAGACGGAGATTAAAAGGATGTAAAATGAATGAGCTGAAGTCAATTAAAAATAAAGTTAAAAATGTGGCTCTTGAGCCTGCCTTTAAAAACATGGACAGTCTCTGCAGCCCTGAGGTTCACTGTGGGTTTTTGGTCTCACCTTTGGAAGTCATTCCAAAGGTGAGACCAAAAACCCAGAGACTAGAGGTGGAGGACCTCAGGGTCCGAGAGGGTTGGTATCATAAGATCAGATCTGACAAATAAGAGGGCCCAAGACCATTAAGACACTTAAAGACTAGTGAAAAATATTGACCACATGAACCTGTCACTCATTTAGGTTGGAGGAAAATTGATTTTCCAGCAGATTGGTCTCAAGACAAACACTGTGCTGATATTAGTGTCCAGTTAAAAAAGGCACAGAGTTTTACTGTTGAGTGGAGCTGTAATAATCATGTGATATTTGAACCATATTTAATTTCCATTTACGACTTATTGACTACCAACTATACAAGGTTGCCCAAGTGGGCAGTGTCTTAATTCTATAATAGTAAAAGTAAATGATTGTGACAATTCCCATAATGCATCTGAAAAAAGGTCTTGTGGTTAATCTCTCTCTGTCACAGGGTCAGCTTTCTCTCCACTCTACAACGTAATGTCCTCCAGACCATACAAGCTGTGAGTCATCGACTGCTGTAACACTCCACTCTCCCGTGCGACCGTGATTTTCTCAACTTCTCAATTATTGTCCCTTAAAAGCAAAAAGCTAACGCGGTGATGGGAAGACGACTGGGACATGCGACATGTGGCCACTGGTAATTCATACACCTGAGTAGTATTTGAAATATTTTTACTATTTGAGGGTCATTTTGATATAAACACTGTTACTTATTTGATAGGAAGTAGATGACCATCAGACAGAACTGGTACAGACTTCTTACCGTGACATCAAAGCAGATGGAGTCTGAGCGGAACAGTCACTGCTGCAGAGCTGGAGTTCTGGCGCCCTCTTGTGGCCATGTAGAAAAACTGAAATATTAAAATAGATGGAATAAAATATTTTGCCTACAGTAATCAACTAACCCGACCAGGACAGAAGCTAGAAGCCGACACCGTGGCCAACATGCACAATAAGGTACTCACCCTGCCGTGTCCCCCAGTAGCCACGATTCAACTCCCGGCAAGGACGGCTCCCCAAAAGGAGAAGAAAATCCTGGACCTCTTAAATTTTCAACATCTTACCTAGAATGACATGAAATTGTAATTTTGGTGAAAAACTCCAAAAAGAAATTTCTATGAAAAATCGAGAAGAAACAGGCAGTGTTTGAAATTTTTCTTTCAAAAATTTTTTTTAAACATTTCTTTATTATTACTTTTTCAAAATGCTCTTATTTGCATTTTAGTGCATTTCGGGGA